TCACCAGCTGGAAACACTTTCGCTTTCCGAATCCTTCCATTTTGGAGCCACCCCAACTTCATCAGCCTTGGCTGGATTTTTTGTCGCCGGCTTGAAGAACTTTCCTTGCTTCTTTCAGGGACTTTGCGATGTCCCTGAGGTCAGCAAGACATATTCTTCTTGTTCACCGACTCTTCGGGATGGTTTAGGTCCGATTGGACCACCCAGCGGCAAAAGTATTGGCTGCGGTCTTGGAGCATCGAGACCGCACGTCCATATCGTCACGATGTTGGCTCCTTCTCTCCCTTCTTATTTCAATGTTAGTACACAGCCCCATGATCATCTGCCATTTTTAAAATTAAAAATATTGTATACTCTTATTTATGTACTAAATTTATATGGCTGCCCATCTTACAAAAAAATATTTTGTGGCATACAACAATTAACAGATCAATACATACATAAAAACAGATAAAAATTAAAATATAAAAAAGGTACGGAAGAGAGTGAATATTAACTACAATGATGGCAATGTCTAAGAATGTTACCAGTCTCCTGGGGCACCCTAGACATTATGACATAGACAGGTCTTGAGGAGTCCTGGAATATTAACAGGGATGGAGCTAACAGTTACCTCATTTCAGAGGGGAGGATTTCCAAAAGGCAGGTGCCACACAGCAAAGAAGGCCTGCCTCCTGGGACTCACCAACTGTAGTTCCCTAACAGAAGGCAGCATGCCTTCTCTGCCATATCTAAATGGATGGAAAGATGTAATCTGGAAGAGGTGGCCCCTCAGATATTTTTAATCATTTTGAAACCATAGATATTTTAGTCATTGGACATTTTAATATAGTGCAATATTGCTTTTAATGAATCATCCAGTGTGTAGTATAGTAATCTACCCAAGTAAATCCATGACACATATTTTTTTTTATTTATCAAATATATATGGCCACCCATCTCACAATAAGTGATTCAGGCTGCTTTTAGAACAAGGCTAAACAGATCCCGTTATTTAATACACACTAAACAATTATTAGGGTTGTTCGCACAGTTAGCCAGATATTTAGACTGGATTTAGCACCATCTATTGAGTCCCTCCCAAGGACCTGGAATAGATAGATGTTGTTTAATAATCTTAAAGATATCATTGCAAGATGTAAGCTATTACAAGTAAAGCTGCCTTTTGCTATCACAGTAGTAACCTTAAAAACGAGAACAAACAAAACAAAAAATGAAAAAAATATTATGTGAAGAGATGTTAATAATAGTGGAACTACCACAATAGTTCACCAGTCCCCTGGAGTCCCTAAGCCACAACTGTCATTTTAGATTTTAAATTTATTGTACTTGACAAGCAACAACTTGTTTGAAATATGTGCAAAAGTAAACTAGCATTCTCTTTACAACCCACTCAACTACTGTGCAAAAAAGGCAGACCTGTCAAACCTTTTCAGGATTACCTATAATGACTCAGCTGCCAGAAATTTAATTCATTATTACCCTTCTGAGATTTCTGCAAATTATGCATTCAAAATGTCAACATCTTTGATAGTTTTCTACATTTGAAAAATCTTATTGCTTGTTATCTATATATGGCATATTGTCAGTCCCTGGTGTGAGATAGACTCAGATAGATCTTAATTTCCTCTGAATGCCCTTTTCTCTAAAAGTAAACTAAAGTTGCAAAAGTAGGCTGTGAGGTATTCGTCACTTTACAAAGAGTAAAGAACTAATGCAAACAATTTATTGTACTGGATATATTGTAAAAAAGACCAAAAGCCGCAAAGACAAAAAAAAAATTCAAGTAACTTAGTTAAATTTCCTTGAATTGCTTAGTCCAGGATTACATATTTTCAAAGAATTATTTTCATTTCGTTTACTCACTGAAGGTTATTAATAGATGAGTTGACATTCAAGATTTATTATGTAATATATATATTTGAATTTTTTATTATTATTCACTAATATTTAATAAAGACAAAAATTAGCAATTTGTAGTTATAATTTTAAAAAAGCTTCCCCAAAGGAGATTTTTTAAAAAACCCACAACCATGCCAGCACAGAACCAAATACAAACCTGTGAGAACTGTTTGTTTAAAAAGTAGACATTTGCTGCATTGAAATAGGCTAAAGCATAGTTGGGGTCTTTAGTGATAGCATGCTGATAATCTTGCATAGCACAGTTTAAATATCCCATGAACTGATTAATCACACCTCGATTTGTAAGCAATTCTGCATTAGTGGTTATCTGAAATTCAAACAGATAAGGTTTTAGATTAAAATGTATAAATGATTATAAGATACAGTATATGTATAAAATACATCTTAAACTGGTAGTTGGTTTTAAGCTATGGCCCCAAATATTCCTGCCCAGGAATGATCTATTGAAGAATATTGTTCTCCCTTCTCCCATATCATAATAATGAATTAAAAACAGCAATCTGGATCTTTATTCCCAAAAGCAGGGGAGGAAGGCATTGGCTAGAAACTAAATAAAACAAAGTGGGTTTTATGGGACACTTGAATCTGTCTTTCATAATGGAGTAATAGTGCATGAGAGAGATATAAAACATGTTTCAGGGGATACTACATTTTTTTAAAATATATTTAAAAGTTCCCATCCCTGGAAGCATATCCATCAAACTTTATTTATTTATTAGATTTATGTACCTCTCATAAAGTATGATTTGGGGCTTATACAAACTTATTAACAATTAAAATAACACACATATAAATAAAAATATTTACAAAAACAAGAATATGGGAGAACGAACATTTGACATCATACAGCCATCTTGTAGGCTTACCAGGGGATCGCCAAGATTGATGAAGAAGCCAGGTTTAAAGGTCTCCAAGAAGGCTGATTAGGGTGGGCCAACTTCATTCAGGCCAAAATTCCCCATGCTAACTGGGAATTGAAGTCCGCACATCTTAAAGTTGCCAAGTTTGAAAAACCCAGCTCTAAAAAAGGAAGGGATTGGGGACATGGAGAAGCACCTATTCCCGTTTCTCTCTTTCGCATGCCTGCATTTCCCGAATACCTGAAAAGGCCTTGTGAATGAGAATAGCAATAGCACTTAGACTTATATACTGCTTCACAGTGCTTTTACAGCCTTCTCTAAGTGGTTTACAGAGTCAGCATATTGTCCTCAACTATCAGGGTCCTCATTTTACCCACCTCAGAAGGATGGAAGGCTGAGTCAACCTTGAGCCGGTGAAATTTGAACTGCCGAACTTCAGCTAGCAGTCAGCTGAAGTAGCCCGCAGTATTGGACTTTAACTGCACTCTAACCACTGCACCACCTCGGCTCTTATCTTAGAATAACCCAAACTCCAAGAAAAGGTATTAATTAAAAAGAGCAGAAAATCTTCAGTCCTGCTCAGTTACAAACAAAACTATTTACCTTTAGTGCAGCGTTTGTATCTTGAAAAGCGGCAAAAACATCCCCCATCTGCAGACAGACTATAGCACGTGCATCGTAAGCATTGTGACAACTAGGATCACAATGAATGGCTGCTGAAAACTGAATCCACGCTTTCTGAAATTTTCCAAGAGCCTGAAGTAATGTAACAAAAACATTAATAAATAAAGAAAATAAAGACGATTGAAGACATTATTGGAATGTTCTTAGGAAAGCTGAAAGTTATTACTGAAGGAAGATCAAAATACCAAGTACTTGTTCCTTTGGTAATTGAGAGTTAAACTCAACTCAGGGGTGCCTAAGTAATCATGAATACATTGGACATGTAATGGAATACATCATATATTTAAAGATTTGACTAGGCTTGGGTAATAGAGCCTTGGCAGAGTGAAGTAGGAAGGTTGTATGGGACTCCCACTAGGTACTTTTCAGTGGAGCTAGGCTGAGAAACTGAGCAGAAATTGTGCAAATTTCAATTCTGTGACTAGGAATAGCCTCAAGATTCTGTTAGTACACTACCCATCTCACAGTTTAATGGGATTTCTTACTCATCTCAATGAATTGCTTTCAGAATTTTGGAATTTCCCAACCTCATATCCATTTGAGTGTTGTTTTGTTTGGAATGGCTCAAGATCCATAGCAATTATGATAACAATGCTTTATCCAAACAAGATGTGAAATCCTTCATGACTTTGGGCAGATCATTATGTAGATAAGGCTGGATTAATAGCAACATCTAATTTTTATAAGGATCATGATCTGTTGGATAGTGTGCCAAAAAGGCAATTGGATTTATTTGGATTCCAAATGTCCTTTGAAGGGTTTTGGTCAGTATGATCAGCAACTCTGTGGATTCTATGGAATGATAAACTTACTAAGGGAATTCATATCATAATTCAAAATGTCCTCTCTGATCTGCCTCAAATATGCCCCTAATATATTGATTAACTGTGGAAGTTGAACCTGCAAGGCAGGTAGTTATACAGCAGATGGCAGGAAGATTTAACTCAAACCCAGAAAAAAGATATCAAGCCCACTTGATGGGTAAGGATTGATTGATTACTAGGTTATATGCCATCAAGTCATCTTTGATTCCTAGTGACCACATTTTTCCATTACGATAATCAATCTCTTTGATAGTTATACTATGAATATATCTGCAGTTTTTTTTCTACATATATTGTTTTGCAGCTTACTGAGTTGTTTCAGATTGAAGGGATGATTTGCACTGCTCCTATCATTCTGCTAGAGAACTTTGGGGAAACTGTTATAATTCAGATTTTTTTGAAAATATTTTGTTACATCCTTTTATAGGGATAAGCTACTTGGAATGGTAGGTTCCACTACATGTCCTCTTGATTTTTATCCAACTTGCTTATAGGTTTTAGTTTATTTATAAATAAAAGACAATTCTAAAGGAAGGCAAAAGACCGTCCTGTTGAAAAGAGGCAATTAGAAATAACTATTTTAAATAAGTCTGAATTAGATCATTCAAAGAAGGGAAACTATAGGCCAAATTATCTTTCAACGTTGGTTGAAAGAATCAAAATGGTGTAGGCTCTCAGTTGTAAATAGTTCTCATGAAAGCAGATATTTGGCCCATTTCAAACTGTTTAAAAGCAGACTATGAGATTGAGACTGCCTTTGCTGATCTGATGAGTGATTTTTAGAGACTTACAGAAAGCATATACAGTTAGTTGCTGTTAACTTATTATTGGTTTTCAATGTGATCAATCATAATATATTTATGGATCATCTAGAAGAATTGGGAATGATAGGACTTCTTTGCACTTCTGTTGCTCCTTGAAATAGGACTATCATACGGCATGCCTCTCTATTTCATTCTACTACTGTTTAGAGAAGCTTTGGAATTCATTACTATTAATATGTAGATGCCATACAAATATTTCTTTGTAACATCGTCAGATAAAAATCTGGGTTTTTTCAGTCTTAAATCAAAAAGCCAACATATCACTCAACTTCTTCCCTCTCCAGAGTTTTCCACATATGAAACATAACCATATGTAACAATTTCAGAAGCAATAGAAAGGCAATTAAATTGGCAATGCTTTTTGAAATGCTGCAAAGTGTTTTGCAGTCATCTGTTTCAATTCACTGCAATGAAGTGGGTCTCCACTTGAATGTGCAAATTGTCTTAATAGAGTTGTTTCATCAAAGCTTTTTTTAAATGAAGCATGCCCTTCAAGGATTTGCATTGCTTTACTTTGAATTAAGTGTAAAGGATTTCTGCCTGCTTAGGCATCTTCATTAACAGGGCTTAATCCTTGTATTGTTATGCTCTGTTGAGACATAGCTGACTCCTGGTGACTCTTTGGATAAAAGCTCTCCAAGCTGTCCTGCCTTTTGCCACATTATGCAGTTCTTGCAGGTGCCATTTCTGTGACTCCATTACCTCATCTCATCTGCTATCCCTTGGTTATTCTACTTTCATCTATCTTGCCCAGCATGATTATTGTTTCCATCAGCCTTTCATATGTATCCAATGTATAGAAGAGTTTGCTTCATGATCTTTACTTGTAAAGAATATTTTAGCTTTATTTCTTCTCTTACTGAATAGTTCATTTTCTTGCTTGTCCAAGAATTGTGATACAAATTTCTTCAACCCTATAGCACAAAGAAGTCAACCTTCTTTATGTCTTTGTGCAGAGTCCATTCCTTACATCCATATATCGTAACAGAGAATACGCTAAGATGACCTTTCTAAATTTGTCTTACTTGAAACATCTGGGTTTTCCATCCGCTTGTCCAGACCTCTCAATGCCTTTTTGCTCTTTGCTAGTCTACTCTAAATCACTTTTGCACATTTGCCATTTTTATCAATTCTAGAGCCTAGAAAACTGTAATTTCAAGTGCTTTTGTCACCAGCTTAACTCTCAATATTGTATGAACATGATCTAAATGGATTAAAGTGTACTAAGTACTACAGTAATTCAAAATGTTATGTAGAGAAAATCACAATTATGCAAAATGTAATAGCAATATAGCAAAATTATCTGAATGTGAAGGGAAACTATTGGTCTATCAGTTAATATAAAGTTGGTGAATTGCAGTTACCCATCCCTGCCCTGTAATAATGTCCCACAGCTTTACAAAGTTTTCCTGCTTTTTCCTCCTCATTTGCTTTACCTAATCAGCAGAAGAAATGTATTTTGAAAGCCAGAGTAGAAACGACGAGGCTATATAAATTGACCTCACTTAGTGACTGCACTTGGGACAACCAACTCCATTGCTAAGTGACATGGTAACTAAGTGAAATACCATGAGATGGCAATGAACTTACAATATCATTTCCATTAGGTAGTTAAGGGAGACATTATATGACCATGACACTGACCTTTTAATGCCAGTTTCTCCATTGAGTCTGTTTATCAGAAGTCATCTGTGAACTGCACAAATGGCAATCACAAGACCATGAGATTCTGTGAGAAATATAAATGCCCACTGATTGCAAAGTGCCTCAATTCTTCAATCACATATTTGTGGGGATTTGCCATGGTCATAAATGAGAGAAATACTTATACAATTACTTTTTCAGTGTCATCATACCTTTGAACAGTTGCTTAAACAGGACGTTTTTAAGCAAGGTCTACCTGTATGTGGGAATTCTGTCCCCCCCCTCCTCCCCATGCTGATAAAAGGTCCTACCACTTCTTGTTTCTGAATGAACTTCAAATAAAAATCATTCAACTTTTCACTCACATTTATTTCAAACAACATAGAAAGAGATATAATGTGAGGAATAAATATTTTCCTGTTTACTAGGGATAATTTCCAGGGAAGACATTTTTTTCTGAAGTTAAAACTGAATGTTCATATTTCATTAAGACCAAAAACAAAAGCATTGACTAATTTATACAGCAGAAGGTATCAACCTACTCTTATTAATTAATAAAGATCTGAGCTAACTGAATAAAATAGAGTAATAAGCAGGGAAGTCTTCTAATGAAGTCTAAATTATTCGTTGTCAAACAGCAATTATTATTTTTGTTTTGTTTTCAGAAAGACAATATGATGACACAGTTACAAATATATTACCTGCAAGCTGTATCCTAAGCAAAGTCTAGCCTTTATGGACACTGGATTGATATGTACTGCTGTCAAGAAATCCTTTAGGGCCTGTCTGGTGCCTTTGCTATGACCATATTCCAGGTATGCATTTCCTCGACCAATGTAGGCATCCAAAGAAAAGGGATTGAGTTTAAGAACTTTAGAAAATGATTCCACAGCTTCTTCATATTTCTGAAGTCTGAAATCAATGACCATTTAAATGTTAATGTTTTAACAGTGATTATGATGTTTTGAATATTGAGATGTGCATATTTGAACAAGGAAACAGCAGGGGTGCAGAAAACAGAAGTCTAGATGTAAATACAGCCACCTTCTTCCCCTATCCTTTGGCTTATTGATTATAATATTATCAAGCTCTTTTTTCAGCTCTTCTATCAGAAGGAGATGAGATCAGAATTAAGCTAATCCATAGCCTTCCTGAAAGAGGACACTTCATTAGGCTCCTCCTACGTTAAACTGGAATGTAGCTTGTTTTTTATTAGGATAAATATTCTATAAAGATGGTTTTCAAGACTTTTTCTCAATTTACCTCCTAATGTGCATCCTACCAAATGCACATTATTTTTAGATGATGATGATGGATGGATGGATGGATGGATGGATGGATGGATGGATGGATGGATGGATGGAT